GTAAACGTATACATATATATATGTATGTATCAGTGAATGCATTTGTATATGTATACGTATATGTACATGCATAGAGATTTGTTTCAGCACCTGCCGCCCAGATAATTCTACATTATACGTTGCCCTGTGGCGTTTCTGCGAAGCCACATGGGATAGGACCTAAACGTTTTAGTTCCCAACCATAGTGTGGTGTTGGGTCCTCGTTTTGAAGAGACAGTCCCCGCGTTCTCCTTCTCTCCTCCTCTTCCCCCTACTCCTCCACCGTCCGCAAGCGTCCCGCACACCCAGTACAGCGTTTCGTGGCCCTCCTCCCCTTCCTCCCTGCGTTTCACCCACCCAGTACAACGTTTCGTGGCCCCATAGGGAGCCCCACCGAAGGCCCCAGTGCTACCGTCCGCATGCGTCCCGCACGCCCAGTACAGCGTTTCGTGGCCCCATAGGGAGCCCCACCGAAGGTCCCAGCGCTACCGTCCGCATGCGTCCCGCACACCCAGTACAGCGTTTCGTGGCCCCATAGGGAGCTCCACCGAAGGCCCCAGTGCCCCCGTCCGCATGCGTCCCGGAAGCTCACTTTGGCATTTTCACCCACCCAGTGCATCGTTTCGTGGCCCCATAGGGAGCTCAACCCAAGGCCCCAGTGCCACCGTCCGCATGCGTCCCGCACACCCAGTACAGCGTTTCGTGGCCCCATAGGGAGCTCCACCGAAGCCCTCAGTGCTACCGTCCGCATGCGTCCCGCACACCCAGTACTGCGTTTCGTGGCCCTCCTCCCCCTCCTCCCTGCGTTTCACCCACCCAGTACAGCGTTTCGTGACCCCATAGGGAGCCCCACCGAAGGTCCCAGTGCTACCGTCCGCATGCGTCCCGCACATCCAGTACAGCGTTTCGTGGCCCCATAGGGAGCCCCACCGAAGGTCCCAGTGCTACCGTCCGCATGCGTCCCGCGCACCCAGCGTTTCGTGGCCCCATAGGGAGCCCGAAGGTCCCAGTGCTACCGTCCGCATGCGTCCCGCACACCCAGTACAGCGTTTCGTGGCCCTCCTCCCCCTCCTCCCTGCGTTTCACCCACCCAGTACAACGTTTCGTGGCCCCATAGGGAGCCCCACCGAAGGCCCCAGTGCTACCGTCCGCATGCGTCCCGCACGCACAGCGTTTCATACCGTCCGCGCACACCCAGTACAGCGTTTCGTGGCCCCATAGGGAGCTCCACCGAAGGCCCCAGTGCCCCCGTCCGCATGCGTCCCGGAAGCTCACTTTGGCATTTTCACCCACCCAGTGCAGCGTTTCGTGGCCCCATAGGGAGCTCAACCCAAGGCCCCAGTGCCACCGTCCGCATGCGTCCGGGAAATGTAATTTGGCATTTTCACCCGCGCAGTGCAGCGTTTCGTGGCCCCATAGGGGGCTCCACCGAAGCCCCCAGTGGAACCGTCCGCATGCGTCCCGGAAACCCAATTTGGCATTTTCACTTATTCAGTCGAGCGCTTCGTGGCCCCATAGGGAGCTCCACCGAAGCCCTCTGTGGGACCGTCCGCATGCATCCCGGAAACCCAATTCGGCATACCACCCACACAGTACAGCGTTCCCCCCCGCCCAGTGCAGCGCTTCGTGGCCCCATAGGGAGCTTCACCGAAGCAGATATTCACAATTACGGTACCCACCATTGCATATGGTTGGGACATTCGCCTGGATAATATATATTCGCGTAGTTTCCATTCTGGTACCTCCCCAGGTACAGCCAAGACGCTGAAATAAGGACCATGTTGGGCTCAGGAGACGCCCTGGTTTTCGGGTCGTTCCTTAGACCAAGGTCGACAACCGCTTCGTGGCCAAGGCCAGCCGTGACCAGAAAAGGCCATTCGTTTTTGATTCAGCATTCATTGTGGTAGCACGATGGCTGTACCTGCATGGGCTTCCAGTGTGCCTGCAGTGGCTCGGGGGGAGCTCCACAACCGCCTTGGCGTGGCCTCTAGGGGCCTCCAGTGATTGCCCTGGTCCCCAAAGGGGCCTTCATTGGCTTCGAGTGGCCCTCCAGAAGCCGCCAGGGATCTCAGAAGCTTCCTGCAGTTTTCAGGCGCTTCCGGATGGACTCCAGGGGCTTCCGTGGCACCCGCCAGCACCGGGCTGCGGATGCCTCCATTGGCCTCCATGGGGCGCCCATGGGCTCCTCCTCCTCCTCCTCCTCCTCCTCCTCCTCCTCCTCCTCCTCCTCCTCCTCCTCCTCCTCCTCCTCCCCACTGGGGCGGTTGAGACTTCTGGAGCGCGGAAGGCGAGCCGGTGGCGGCGCCCATAACCTCGACGACATCCCCGGCGCGAGGGGGCGTTCGAGCCCGGGACGGCGCAGGCCAGTTCATTGGTTTGTGTGTGTGTGTGATACGGTGCGACGACTGTTCGCGGGGCCCTTACGGTCGCGGCCCCGAGGGCGGCGCCTGGGTCAACCCAGAGATCTGCAAGACCTTGGCAGCCAGCCGCAGGAGTGCCTACAAGCAGGGGGTCGACTGCCGATGGACCTGCATGCCAGCCGATTCGCTTTTCGGTCCCCCCGTTTAGCCCCATCGCTGCTGCAGCCTTTCTGGCTCGCCGCCGACGAATAGATGTAATTATGTATGTATGTGTATATATATATATATATATATATAGATATCTCTCTCTCTGTGTATGTATGTGTGTGTGTTTCAACGCGACATTAATTTGCATACAGTGCGCCCCCTGATGACAGATCGCCGGAACAGTCACCCTCTGCCCAGCCGCCGACGCAAAATCTCTGTGTGTGTGTGTTTGTGTGTGCATGGCGCGGGATGCGCTTGACTTGCGGGCCGACGGGGGTGGGTGGGTAGGAGAAATGAGGTGTGGATGAGAGGGCGAGAGGCTGGGGTGGGGGGGAGGAACGGGGGATGGAGGGAAAAAGGGGTGGCTGTGAGGGGGGGGAATGGGGGGAGGGCAATGGGGTGAGGGAGGACCGCAGTGGGGGATGGGGGGACGTGGCGGGCTGCAGGCCCTCTGAAGGCACTCCAGAATGTGGGCCCCCCGTCCCCCGAAGGAGTTTTCAGGCAGGGGTTCCGGTCTTCCTAGGCTCCGGGCTCCTCAGCCTTCCCCGGGCGTTCTGTCCTCTCTCTCCTGCCTCGTCCTCCCTCCTCCGCCACGTGGTCCGGCGGATCCGCGGTGCGAGGCCGGGGGCCGCACGCATCAAAGCGGCCTCCAGTACCCGTGGCGCGTCGAGGCGGTCCTGCTGCTGCTCCAGGGCGTGCTCTCCTTCTTGCACGACGGGTACTTCGCAGGGAGCTCCCCAGCCGCAAAGATCGCAGACAGGACGCCGCCAGCTCCGCTGCCCTCTGGCACGAACCCTTTGTTGAGTCGGAGCCGGCGCGCCGCTCGATGTCGGGTAACCTTTCGCAGGATGGGGGGGAGGTGGAAGCGCAGCGGCAAGAGGGGGAGGTGGGTGAGGAAGGGAGGGAGGTGAAGTTAGAAAGGAGGAGGAGGAGGAGGAGGAGGAGGAGGAGGAGGAGGAGACCCTGGGAAGTCCTCAGAGGTTCAAGGCGAAGGTGCGAGGCCGGACAAGTGTCGGAGTGCGGGCGGAGGACCGTGGCGCCTTCCCCCCCCTCCCCCTCCCGCCCCCCCTCCTCCCTTCCCTTCTCGCTCCTCCCCCCGCAGTGCTCGCTGTCTCCCTCCCTTCTCCCTCATCCTGCTCGAGCTCGACCCTGGTCCCCTTTCGATCGTCGAAGGTGCCTCGCTTGTGTGTGTGTGTGTGTGTGTGTTACGTGCCCTCGAGAGGCACCCCGCGGATCGGGGCGAAGGGGCGGCAGCGCTCGTGAGCCAGCTTCCTTCCACTCCTGCGCCCCTCCCTGGGCTGGAAGGAGGGTGTGTGTGTGCTCAGCGGAGGCTCAGCTGCAGTCCCGCACTGTCTGTGGTGGTCCTCTCGAGCCACGGCCGTGCTGCGAGCTCAGGACGCCAGCCTGTAATGTGGAATTCACATCTCCCCTTCTCCTTCCCCTCCTCCTCCTCCTCCTCCTCCTCCTCCTCCTCCTGTCCTCCTCCTCTCCTCCTCTCTCCTCCTCTCCTCCTCCTCCTCCCTCCTCCTCCCCTCCCCCTCGTCCTCTCCTCCTCCTCCCTTTCCTCCTCCTCCCTCGTCCTCCTCCTCCTCCTCGTCCTCCTCCTCCTCCTCCTCCTCCTCCTCCCTTTCCTCCTCCTCCTCCTCCTCCTCCTCCTCCTCGTCTTCCTTCTCTCCCCCCCTCTTCCTTACTCTCACCTCCGTCGTCCTCTGCCTCCTCTGCCTGTTCCCCTTCCTCTTTCTCAGCAAACGCCCCGTCCTTGTGTTTTCTGCGCTTCCCTGCTGCTAGGACTTCGGCCACGTTCCTCACCTGCTGCCAGCCGCTCAAATTCACATTCTGCCGCATGGACGAGGCTCTCAGGGGGAGGTGGGAATCGCACAGTCCACCCACGATATGTCCCGACTGTGTGACCACGCGTGCTGGCCCATCACGACATGGCTTTGGCACTGCACTCGTGTTTGTCTTGAAGGGCCTGATTATCGTACAGTGCATCACGGTTCAGGCGCTTTGGCGAATCACGTTCCTCACCCATCCATCGCTCCAGCCTTGCAGCTTAGTTTCCTGCTTTGGTGCCATTAGGGTATGTCCTTTCCACGGGGCACGCTCACCCGGTGTCGTGCTGTCTTGGGAACTCGCGCTGTCTTGCCATCTCCTCACGAGGCATTGATTATGCTGAGGCGTTCGTGTGTCAGTGGTCTTCATCTGTGCAGACATCCTGGAAGGCATTGGCGCATGTTCGCATTTTCTCTGATACCCCAAACTGCGTTTCTGCCATCCGCGCAACTAGTGGTGAAAATACTTTCGTGGGTGGGCACTCCTATCCTGCAGGATGCTTGTAGACTCGCACACGCACCGACCGAACCAAGGAAACTGACCACAGGGTGGAGACTGGCGGTGTATCAACCGTGATACGGGACCGCACACTCGGAGGCCGCAGATCGGACCAGCACGTGGCACAGCTTTGAGGATTGTGCGCAGGGCATGCGGCCACAGAAACGCGATCCTCCTTCTCCTCCTCCTTCTCCTCCTCCTCCTCCTGCTGCTGCTGCTCCTCCTCCTCCTCCTCCTCCTCCTCCTCCTCCTCCTCCTCCTCGGGAGAACGTCCGCAGCTCCCAGAAGCGTCCGCTCGAGTGGAGATCCTCGGGGCCTCCAGCCACGACCTGCGGGCCCTCCCTCACCAGGTGCTGACAGCGGGCAACTCGTCGGCATGTTCTTTGGTGGAACTGCTTGGGCCTGGGAGGGAGGAGGAGGAGGAGGAGGAGGAGGAGGAGGAGGAGGAGGAGGAGGAGGAGGAGGAGGGAGAGGAGGAGGAGGAGGAGGAGGAGGAAGGAGGAGGAGGAGGAGGAGGAGGAGGCGGAGAAGGAGAAGGAGAAGGAGAAGGCGGAGGAGGATTGGAAGGCGGAGGCGGAGGCGGAGGAGGAGGAGGAGGAGGAGGAGGAGGAGGAGGAGGAGGAGGGAGGAGGAGGAGGAGGCGGAGAAGGAAAAGGTGAAGGAGAAGGGAGAAGGAGAAGGCGGAGGAGGATTGGAAGGCGGAGGCGGAGGCGGAGGAGGAGGAGGAGGAGGAGGAGGAGGGAGGAGGAGGAGGAGGAGGAGGAGGAGGAGGAGGAGGAGGAAGAGAGGACGAGAGGAGGGGGAGAGGAGGAGGAGGAGGAGGAGGAGGAGGAGGAGGAGGAGGAGGCAGCTTCGAGACGAGACGCCAGGGGCGGGGCAGGGCCTGGGCACAGGCAGCTTTTGAGGCAGGGGAGGGGCCTCTCGCCCTCCCCTGCCTCGAGACGCCAGGGGCCGTCCCCGGCCACCTCGAACGAGCGGTGCAGGACCCTGCAAGGCCACGGCATCCCCCGTGACAGCCACTGTTTATGACTCAGCTTCGAGGCAGGGGAGGGGTCTCTCGCCCTCCCCTGCCTCGAGACGCCGAGGGCGGTCCACGACCACCTCGAAAGAGCCGCCGTGCGAGACCCGTGCAAGAAGGAGGAGGAGGAGGAGGAAGAGGAGGAGGAGGAGGAGGAGGAGGAGGAGGAGGAGGAGGAGGAGGAGGAAGATGAGGAGGAGGAGGAGGAGGAGGAGGAGGAGGAGGAGGGAGGAGGAGGAGGAGGGAGGAGAGAGGAGGGAGGAGGGAGGAGGGAGGAGGGAGGAGGGAGGAGGGAGGAGGGAGGGAGTCTTGGATCGCGTCTCGGGTCGGCCTGAGCAGGTCCGGTGGATGCCCCAGGAGGCGTCACTACGGGAGGCTCCTGGGAGGCCAGAGGCAATAGCCTGGGAGCGCCGCCACTCCTCTTTGGGCCTGCGCCCGTCCGCCGCCTTGCTGCCTCCCTCTTTGCCTCCCCTCGCTCCTTCTCCCCCCCCCCCCCCCCCTCGGGCCTCGTGAGAGGCGCTCAGCAGAGTCCAGCAGAGTCCTTCTCCCCCCCCCCTCGCATCCCCCCTCCTCCCTCCCTCCAGTGCCAGCTCCTCGGTCTCTGCCTGGGTCCCACCGGCCGAGCTTTCGGAGGGATGCGAGTTCTGTGTCCTTCGGCGGCCTGAAGCAGTTTTGTCGTGCCAACGCGTCCTGCTGGATGTGCGGCTTGAGTCGTGGTGGCCGTTGGTTTCCCGTGTTTCCCGTATTCCATATGGGTGGTCTCAGAATCGGTGCCGGAGGCTTCGAGACGCCTCCAGGGCCGACCCAGATGGCCGCATCCTAAGAGGCACGACGGAGAGGCTCTCCACAGTGGCCCTCCAGTGGTGCCATCATCCCCCCCTCTCCTCCTAGCAGGGGGCCACATGCGAACCCTCCCCCTCAGAACTCGTGGGGGGTAGGGGTAGGGTTCGCATGTGCCCCCCTACCTGGCCCGTTCTTGTTTGTCCTCCTAACCCTTCCATTTCCCATCCCCTCTGCTCGCAGGCTTTCGTTCTTTCGGTGTGCCCGCCGCTCTCGTTTTGCGGTGGCTCGCATTTCGTTCCGCGGAAGGCCCCAGGACCCCCTCGGATGGCCTCGAGGCTTCGCGACATGCCACCACCGTGTCGTAACGCCGCCCGCCCGAGCCGCCCGTCAGGGCCCGCCCCCCTCGCTTGCAAGAAGGCCCTCCCGCGCCCGACCCCACCCGTCGGGGCCCGCCCGCTGGACCCGCCCGTGGGGGGGGGCCCACCCGCCCGCCCTGCCCGCCCAGCAGGGAGCGTCCGCTCGACCTGCACGACGGCTCGACGGTTTCGCGTGCGCCGTCGTGGTCGTGGCCGTGGTCGTTGGCCCTCGCAGTCGTCGCCGTCGGCGTGGTGGCGGTGGTGGTGGTGGTCGTCGTCGTCGTCTTCGTGCCGGATCGTCGCTGTCGTGGTGGGTGCCGGAAGGCGGAGGTGGAGGCAAAGTCGGGAGCCTCGAGACGGGGGTCAATGCAAACGGGGGTCAGCCAGGGCACCGGATCCTGCAGGATCCTGCGAAGACCCCCTCTGGCTGACCCGGGTTAGCGAGCCGCTCGTGGCCGCGAGGCGGCCGCGCCTATTGGCTGACCCGGGTTTGCGCGGACCTGCGTTGCAGTTTTTTTTGTCCTGCATTGCAGTTTTTGGTTTCCTGCTGACCCGGGTCTGGATTGACCCGGGTCAGAAGATCCCCGACAAAGGAGGCGCGCAGAGCGGGGGGGGGGATTGTCCGAGTGCGGAGCGGGGGCACGAAACCAGGTGTGGAGTTACTCTTCCGACATGCCGGCAAAAGGGGCGAGGGACGAGCGCAAGTGCAGTATTTTCGTTGAGCGTGGGTGAGCAGGATAAGCTTGAGTTCGATCGTGGAAGATCGCGAAGCACTGCGCAGAGTGCGTGGGCGAGTTTTGGGGAAACAAAGTTTCCTCCCGCGGATGTGGGAAGCCGCGGCAGACGTGGAATCGACGGGGGCACGGGCGGACGTGAAGCTGCGCGTGATGTGCGGAACAGGGAAGGGGCAGAGCTGTTTCCCCCCGCTGATGTGGAGGGATGTCGCGGCCAAGCACCGCAGGTGCACGGCGTGCGTCACCTCGGGAATGCGCTGCGTGGGATGTGAAAGCGAGTGGGGTGCGGTGCGGCCCGGTTGAAGACAGAGCTCAGCAGCTGGCTGAGCGGAAGGTTGGCGGCTATGCCGACGGAGACAGCGGTGCAATGCACGCAACGCGATGGCGCGCCAGGGATTGCTGAGGCGAGCGTCGCGCGGCTTGCAACATTAAGGCGTAGAGGGTGAGCGCGGAGGAAGCGACGTTGAACGTGGGGAGACAAGGGTCCAGAGGATGAAGATGTCCAACGGGGTGGGATTGCGGGGACTGGGGTTCGAGTCAGAACATGGAGATTGAAGTATGTAAAGGCTGCCGCCTCTGCCGCAAATCCCAAAGAATGTCCCCCGCGCAGTTGATCAGTTTATCCGGGGGCTCGGGAATTGTATCAAGCAGAGGTCCAGAGGTTCCGTTCGTGCGTTCGTGTGTATTTGTGTGTGTGTGTGTGTTGGCGCCTGTACTTGTTCCCTTGGGTGGCCGAGTCGAGACGTCCTTTCGCATTCCCGCTCTTCCTGCGGCATTTCGGGTTCCGTTTCGAATGGTCTTCTGGTCGTGTCGGGGTTCGCTTCGGTTGTCGTGCGACCCCTGGGGCCAATCGGGGCTAGTTTCGGGGGCTCCAGGCTGCCGCTGAAACGCGCGCTGGGGGAATCCGACTGTGTTGGCGACTGGGTATGCCTTCAGCGCGGACAAAGAGAGGTGGGGGCGGTTAGGGACGAGGAAGTCGGAAGTGGCGGGTTTTGCTTCAATCCCAGAACTTGTTGAGGGTCGGGGACGACGTCGGGGTGGTGTGGTGTATACTTTTTTCCCATTTCCCGTGGGGAAACATCAGCAAACGTATACACCAGGATCCGTATACACACCAGGATCCGCGTGCCTGTGCGCATTTCAGTGCGGGGCCGGAAAAAGCGTCGGTGTATAGAGTTCGGCTCCTTAGGAAGGTCTTTCCCCGCCTGCATACTATAAGGCAGGCTTCTGCAGACAGCTGCAGAGCAGGACCCAGAGGGGTGGGGATGCCCGGCCAGGTGGAGGCACGCTGGGGGATCGGGGTGGGTTCCGGGCCGGGCACTGTCGCGCGGGGGGCCCCCCGGGGCAGGGCCCAGAGTGGCGGGGATGCCATGCCATGCCCGGTGGAGGCGTGGTAAAAGGCAACAAAAACAGGCTTTTTGGTTTCACCTCCTGATATCGGGGTCGGCAAAGAGGGGGGTGATGACTAGGGGTGTGTGGATATCATGGCGGGGGCCATGATATCTCTTGGACACCCCCCTCTCGGCGGTCATGATTTGCACCGCCCCTCTTGGACACCCCCCTCTTCGCCGCTCCCGATGATAGACAAGCAAACATGCAGACGACACACAACGCACAACCCTAAACCCTA